GGGGGGGTTCATAGAAAATTCATATTGTGGTCAACAATGATGATACTGATGATGTCTATGTCAGGTTTGAGGTTCTTCAACCAACTAACAATTCCATGGCCACCTCAAATGCCACCATGTTTGTGGGAAGAAACTGCCATTTTTCTGCAACTTGGATACATAATGCTCCACATCCTGAAAAACATCCTGCCCTTACAGCAGAAAGCTTCAGAAATGGCAACAACAGTGACAGCAAAGAACCTCAAACTTAAACTGGGACTCCCCTACAAATGCGGCATTGTCTGCTCCGCTCTGTCACTAGCCACTCATCTACTGCTCTTATCAGTTCCAGAGATCAACGGGTTCAAATCTCGCTGCGACCGTGAATTCTTAGTACTCTCGTCTGAGGTTTTGCAAGTAATATCATGGGCAGTCACTTTGCTTGTGTTATATAGAACCAGAAGAGATGTGAAGTTACCGTTGATCTTAAGAGTCTGGTGGATTTCCGTATTCTTGCTGTCTCTGGCACGTGCGGTTGTGATACATGACTGTGCCGGAATTGTTGTCTTTATAACATCCGCCTGCTTATTCGGTGTTTCAATTCGTGGGAAGACGAACAACATTCTTGAGAGTTCAAATGTCATCACAGAACCTCTGCTTGAAGAAAAAGGTTGTTCGGATGGTGGAACAGACAGTCTGTACAGTAAAGCAACTCTTCTTCAGTTAGTCACATTCTCGTGGCTCAATCCACTCTTTGAAGAGGGGAAAAGGAAACCACTTGACAGTGATGAAGTACCCAACGTTGACCGAATGGATTCAGCCAGTTTTTTGTCGGGGGAATTTGACGAAAGCCTGAGATATGTAAAGGAAAGGGACGGAACGACAAACCCGTCCATCTATAAGGCTATTTATGTCTTCTCAAGGAAAAAGGCAGCGATCAACGCTTTGTTTGCTGTTATTAGTGCATCGACATCGTATGTGGGCCCATATCTCATCAACGACTTCGTGAGCTTCCTCAGCGAGAAGAAGCTCAGAGGCTTACAAAGTGGATACCTTCTGACATTGGGGTTTCTTGGAGCTAAAGTAGTTGAGACTGTGGCTCAAAGGCAGTGGATATTCGGGGCTCGCCACCTTGGCCTTCGGTTAAGGGGAGCACTAATATCCCACATTTACCAAAAGGGTATAGTTCTGTCAAGCCAGTCGCGCCAACGCCACTCCAGCGGAGAGATCATCAATCTAATGAGTGTTGATGTTCAGAGAATCACAGATTTCGTATGGTACCTTAACACAATCTGGATGCTTCCCATTCAAATAACCTTAGCAATATACATCCTGCATATGAATCTTGGGATGGGCTCGTTTGTGGCATTAGCTGTAACCATTATAGTGATGACTCTAAACGTACCGCTGACTAAGATTCAGAAAGGGTACCAAACAAAAATCATGGAATCTAAGGATGAAAGGATGAAATCCACCTCTGAAGTTCTCCGGAACATGAAAACCATCAAGCTTCAGGGATGGGATGCTTTCTATCTTCAAAAGCTTGAGAGGTTAAGAAACATTGAGCATAACTGGCTCTGGAAATCACTGAAATTATCAGCATTCACAGCTTTTGTCTTTTGGGGATCTCCGACGTTCATTTCAGTTTCGACTTTCATTGGATGTGTTGCAATGGGGATTCCACTCACAGCTGGGAGAGTGTTATCTGCACTTGCTACGTTCCGGATGCTTCAAGATCCTATTTTTAGTTTGCCTGATTTGCTCTCTGCGATTGCACAGGGGAGAGTATCCGCCGATAGAATTGCTTCTTACCTGCAAGAAGAAGAGATTCAACACGACACGGTAGAGTTTGTCCAGAAACACGAAACTGAATTCGGGATTTTGATCAATGATGGAACTTTTAGCTGGAATGCAGCAGAATCAAGAATCCCAACACTTGACCGAATAGAGTTAGCAGTGAAAAGGGGGACGAAGGTGGCAGTTTGTGGGACCGTTGGATCAGGAAAATCGAGTCTGCTTTCCTGCATTATTGGAGAAATGGTGAAGTTATCAGGGGCAGTCAAGATTAGTGGTACAATGGCCTATGTTCCTCAGTCTCCTTGGATACTATCAGGAAATATCAGGGAAAATATTCTTTTCGGAAAATCCTATGAAAGTGACAAGTATGAGCAAACTGTTGAGGCATGTGCCCTCAAGAAAGACTTTGAACTATTTTCTGCCGGTGATCTAACGGAAATTGGAGAAAGGGGGATAAATATGAGTGGGGGGCAGAAACAGCGGATACAAATTGCCCGTGCTGTTTACCAGGATGCTGACATATATCTGCTTGACGACCCATTCAGCGCTGTGGATGCCCATACAGGCTCACATATCTTCAAGGTGTGTAATCGAGTTCTTTGAAATTAGTTAGTACTTCCTCCGTCCCAAAAAACTTTATGGAGTTTGACTTTCATGAAATTTAAGAAACTTGTTGAAATGTTAAAATGTGTATGGTTAGGATTTGTTTGGATGAGACTATGAGAGAGTAAGCTTGTGAGCCAAATGTTCATTATTAACAAGGAAATAAAGTGGGAAGTGTTATTTGGGACATTGGCAAAGGGAAAGTGGATAGGGGTGTTTTTTGGGACAGAAAACATGAAAGACAACTAAAAAAATGTTGCCAAACTATCAATAAGAGTAAGGAAGTCTGGTAACTTAGCTTATATTTTGTGGGCATTTCAGGAATGTTTGATGGGGCTCCTCAACAACAAGACCATACTTTATGTCACCCACCAAGTTGAATTTCTTCCTACTGCTGATCTCATTCTGGTATTGCATAAAAAGCTGTTCATTCAATATTTTGATGCAAATTTTTAACCGGAGAATGATTCAGATTATAAAGTTTGTTTTTCTGAGGCGATGCCAAAAAATAAATAAGTAATGAAAGAAGATATTCTAAAGTGATTCTCAACAGGTAATGGAAAATGGTAGAATAACACAGGCTGGCACATTTGAAGACCTTCTAAAGCAAAACATTGGATTTGAAGTTCTAGTTGGAGCTCACAACCAAGCTCTAGAGTCAATCTTAATGGTGGAGAACTCGAGCAGACCATCGGAAAATATGGTCACAAACAGTGATTTTGACATTGACAGTAATGTAGATTCAGAGTTTCCATACATTAAGCAAGATTCAGAACATAACCTCAGCATTGAAATAACAGAGAAAGATGGAAAACTTGTGCAAGAAGAAGAAAGAGAAAAAGGAAGCATTGGGAAAGAAGTTTATTTGGCTTACTTGACTCTTGTAAAACGTGGCGCTTTTGTTCCCATAATCATCCTAGCTCATATATCTTTCCAAGTTCTACAGGTCGCTAGCAACTATTGGATGGCGTGGGCGTGTCCTAGAGGCGATGAAGAACCATTGGCCTCAAAGATGAAGTTCATATTAGACATATATGTACTTCTTTCAGTGGGAAGTGCTCTTTGTGTGCTACTCCGAGCATCATTATTGTATACGGCGGGGCTTCAGACTGCAGAAACACTGTTCATAAACATGCTGCACAGCATTTTTCGTGCACCTATGGCATTCTTTGATTCTACTCCCACTGGAAGAATTTTGAATCGGGTGAGCAGTAATTAACTTTTTCTAAAAGTAATTTAACATACTTTTAAATTAGTGCAAGCTCATATAGTGTGGTAATTTCTTCTAAGAACAGGCATCTACAGACCAAAGTGTACTTGATTTGGAGATTGCCGCCAGGTTAGGGTGGTGCGCTTTCTCGGCAATTCAGCTTCTTAGCACAGTTGTAGTCATGTCACAGGCTGCATGGGAAGTGTTTGTCATCTTCATCCCTGTGACAGCAATCTGTGTCTGGTATCAGGTGAGATATTCTATAATGCTCAGTGTTTGGAACGGGAAATGGCAAGGAAATGACATTAAATAGAGATATGGCAATTGGTTCATTTTTTTTGCCCATACATTGGAAAATCCAAAGGAAAAAGAAATGTAATTAAGACATTATAGTTTTACATGAAGCTTGCTTTTTAGTCTCTATATAGTTGAATGATTTAAACAAGATTTCACAAAAAGTTTTATAAAATGTCTTTCAGCAATACTACATACCGACTGCAAGGGAATTGGGTCGTTTAGCAGGAATAGAAAGAGCTCCAATTCTCCACCACTTTGCAGAATCACTCTCAGGAACAGCGACGATTCGTGCATTCGGCCAAAAAAACCGCTTTGTTCATGCTAACCTTGGTCTCATCGACAACCATTCAAGGCCATGGTTTCACAACGTGTCAGCCATGGAATGGCTTACTTTCAGACTGAATCAGCTTTCTAATTTTGTCTTTGCTTTCCTTCTGGTTTTGCTCGTTACACTTCCTGAAGGATTCATAGACCCAAGTAAGTACGCGGATACTTCTTGTTTGTAGCCTCAACTGCATTTCGTGGCCTAAAATGTAAACACGTGAAAAATACAAGTGAAGCTAATCAAGCTATATGTATGCATGATATAGATGATTATGTAGGGCCTCAGGCGCAATCAAATTTCCGAAAACCAATTGCAGTTTGGATTATGTATCTAGTAGCCAAAGCAAAGTACATCAAAGTTTTACCAATATTTACTAGAGAAAATGGACCTAAAAACCCATCACATTCCAATATGATTTACAGGCATTGCAGGACTGGCAGTCACATATGGCATAAACTTGAATGTGTTGCAATCTACAGTTATATGGAACATTTGCAATGCAGAAAATAAAATGATATCCGTAGAAAGGATCCTACAGTACTCAAATCTAGCCAGTGAGGCGCCGATGATAATTGAAGACTGCAGACCTCCAGACCGCTGGCCAGAAACCGGGTCGATTTTATTCAAAAATTTGCAGGTAAAATGGGGGAAAAAGTGGAAAATCATTTCCACACAAACTATGTTTTTTAAACCTGTAATTTAGATTCACATTGATCCCTGTTCGGCAGGTACGCTACGCCGAGCATCTCCCTTCTGTGTTGAAGCACATTACCTGCAACTTTCCAGGGAGAAAGAAAATCGGTGTCGTTGGAAGGACTGGAAGTGGAAAATCAACCCTGATTCAGGCCATTTTTAGGATTGTTGAGCCCAGAGAGGGAAGCATTATCATTGATGATGTGGATATATGCAAGATAGGCCTTCATGACTTGAGATCAAGACTTAGCATTATTCCCCAAGATCCGACGCTTTTTGAGGGAACTGTTAGAGGAAACCTTGATCCCATAAAAAAATACTCTGATACTCAAAATCTGGGAGGTAATTGGTCAAGTCTTCCATGGTTCACAGTCCTAAATGCTTGTAGTTTTTCTGCCACATTAGCAGAACATGTTTCAACAAGTGTTTAAATAATGTAGGCTCTGGACAAATGTCAACTAGGTGATATCATCCGAGCGAAGACAGAAAAGCTGGAATCTACAGGTTTGTCTTCCTGATGCCGCCACTAGTAGTGTTGATTTAAGGGTATGTTTGGGTTCAGGGAAATAATTGGTAGTGGAAGGTAAACAGATGCTAAGAAAAGTTGATTACTTTCCTATGCTCGGTTTACCTTCAAAAATGCAAATAACAAGAAAATGATTTGGTACTGAACCACTAATATCTAAAATATTTCCTTTGGTTTGTCGAAAATGGGTTTCGGGTATGCATTGTGACAGTGGTTGAAAATGGAGAGAATTGGAGCGTGGGACAAAGGCAACTTCTCTGTCTTGGGAGAGCCTTGTTGAAGAAGAGCAGCATCTTAGTTCTGGATGAAGCAACGGCTTCGGTTGATGCTGCAACCGATGCCTTGATTCAGAAAATTATCAGTCAAGAGTTCAGAGATCAGACCGTGATCACTATAGCCCACAGGATCCACACGGTCATCGATAGTGACCTTGTCCTGGTCCTAAGTGAAGGTAAAACTTAAGTAGAAAGTGATGTAACTTAAGATCGTCTAGGGGTCAATCAATTACGTCGTTGGCTAAAACCACGCTAAGAGATTGAAGCCTATCGATTAGCTAGCACAACACAGCTCACGGTATCTAATTAACCCGTCATTCTTTTCCTTCAACAGGTAGAGTAGCAGAGTTTGACTCACCAGCAAAGCTATTGGGGAGGGAAGACTCTTTCTTCTCAAAGCTGGTAAAGAAGTACTCCATAAGTTCAAAAAGTTTAACAGCTTAGCCATGTTTGAAAGATTGATTCCAGTTTTGGAGTTTGCATCATACTTTGTTCATTCTACACACTTTTGTCTCTACTTTCTGTGAGACTTTGTTGGGTTTTTTGTTGCATAAAATGTACCTATAAATGACACTACTCATGGAATACAAAATGGTTAAACCTTTCAAATGTATACCCTCCCCGCATGAATGAAACTCATGACTCGTAAATACATAACATAAAAAAGGCATAATTTTATTTCAACATCTTCAAATTTTAAAGTTGGTCGAAATTGAAATTGAGAAGAAAACATAAGGGTTACATAAATTACCTCATACTCATGTACAAATTATAAACTTCAATTTTCACTAGAATTAGGTGTTAGGAATCAGAGATCAGAGGCGATCAAGCGGAAGCAAACACACACACACACTCACACAAATAGCAGAAAAGAAGAACACGAGATTTAACGTGGTTCGGTGAGTAACCTACTCCACGGGTTGCAACTAGGGTTTATCTTTTATTAGGTGCTCACAGATTATAGTTACATGATTGGGTATTTATAAGATATAAATTAGGGTTAACAACTTGCTAAACAAGAAACAACTAACGGGCCCTTTAATTAATAACTAAAACCGGCCCCCCATATTTCTTCCCTTTAACCGACTCGGCTTAAAGCCCAAAGCTCTAAAGCCTTCACTGAATAACCCAACAATCTCCCACTTGAAGGATTTCACATAGACAAAAAATGCCATCCAAGTAAACCCATCATGAGTAACTCAGTAATCTTCACTGTCAAGTCCTCCAAGCCTCTAGTTCCCAAGAACAAGCTAAGACTCCAGTTATATCCCCTAGTTGCAACCACCCTCCAGTCGTGACTGTAACCGCCACAGCCTCTGTCTCAACCGGCTTGCACAATCCACCGGATCCAGAGATACACCGAGGACCATTACCACTCTCCAAATCCAGCAAACTATTCCCAGGAGAGATTTTAACGTTCGGATTCTTGGTCCTCAAAACCCAACGACGTTTCATAACTGTACTCAGAACACGTCCCATGCTCCCACTGACACGAAACCCCTGACCTGATTCAGACCTCCGAACACACTCAACTGTCATCCCCAAAACTCTAAGATTCACGTTTGCAAAATGAACCTTCTTAGCTTTGCCCGATTCAGTGAGCCTGACTTTGTTAACTGTCTTTACCGGGTTGGTCACTCCCTCAGATGTCACCGGTACCATGTATAACGATCCTCTTTTCAAGCCTCGGGCAATAACCAAATTCCCTTTGATCACATTCCATTTTCCACCACCAAACTTGACGTCTAGTCCATGTTCATCCAATTGTCCGACTGAGATCAACTTTGTCTTCAGTCTTGGAATCACCCTGACATTTTGTAAGCTCCAAGTAGTTCCAAATGAAGTTTTTAGATCAATATCTCCCATGCCTGTCACTTTAAGGATTTTCCTGAGATTCACCATCGCCTCACTGCTGTGTATGGCGTGAAACGAAGCACCAGAATCCATGACCCAAGAGTCAACATAGCTTTCCATGCTGAGTATCAATGCATCACTATCATCATCAGATGCATTCCCAACAACTGCGCTAATTTCGTTTTTCCTGTTTGGGCATTGACTCTTGACATGCCCAACTTCTTTGGGCATTACAGGCCGACGGTTTCTCATACACATTTGTTAACATACCATGAGCAGTTGTTTCCTTCATGATATTAAACGCCACACTCCTCGTCAAAGCTAGTGTAATTTTACCTCTTGCCTTTTTGTTCTTTGAGTCCCAAATTGCTTCAGCAGCCTTATTCATTCCATCCGGTTTCTCTTCCAGTACCATGTCCAAATCGCACTCACCAAGCAACGCCTCTATTTGCATTTTCCACCATGCAAAATCAGTACCGTTGAACTTCTCAATTCGAACCCTCCCGTCCTCGGCCATTGCAAAACGAGAAAAAAAACTAGAGAAAAAATCAAGGAATAACGGCCTGAAACCAAGCAACCTTCAAAAGAATACAAACCCTAAACCAAAGAACCCGAACCAACGAGTACCAGGTCCAAAACCAGAAACCCTAATCGCCAAGTTCACCTAAAACCGACCAAACAGCCCCTGACCAGATCCGAACCAGCCTCTGATCAGATCCGAACCAGCCCCTGATCAGATCTGAACCAGCCCCTTAACCGCGGCAGCAAAACAGCAGCAAAAACAATCCTGAACAGCCTTCTTCCTGCGATTGATCCTGTGTAACCGTGTGTTTAACCGAACCAAGGCTCCGATACCACTTGTCAGGAATCAGAGATCAGAGGCGATCAAGCGGAAGCAAACAAACACACACACACACACAAATAGCAAAAAATAAGAACACGAGATTTAACGTGGTTCGGTCAGTAACCTACTCCACGGGTTGCAACTAGGGTTTATCTTTTATTAGGTGCTCACAGATTATAGTTACATGATTGGGTATTTATAAGATATAAATTAAGGTTAACAACTTGCTAAACAAGAAACAACTAATGGGCCCTTTAATTAATAACTAAAACCGGCCCCCCATATTTCTTCCCTTTAACCGACTGGGCTTAAAGCCCAAAGCTCTAAAGCCTTCACTGAATAACCCAACATTAGGGGTGTGCCTGAATATTGACTCCTTATTTTTCCGAACCTAATTGACATGATACCAAATTAAAAAATGAGTTTTCCAATTGTATTAATAAAAAACGCAGTATATCCAAAACCGAACTCCCCAATATGAAGTATTTTGTTACAAAGTATCTCACATCGGAAGTCGAAGATAAAGGTTTTGACTGACTTCGTTTGTCAATGTGACTCTATATGTTCATTTCTAGTGGTCCTAGATTTTAATGGAGGATTTTCTGTGTCTAGTTCTTATTTATGTTCTTGGTCATTCTTTTATTAGTACCTTCCAATGGACAGTTCCTTTTTACTTTTGTCATGTTAGAGTGAAACTGAAGGCTAAAAGTGTAATTCACATCAAATCTATGTCCAATGACGTATCGTGATGTTGGCTTGACAGGCAATATAATAATTACAATGGTTATGGACTAGGATTGGACCAAAGACAAAATCTGAAGACTATGGTTACAATAGACGTCAACTCCAATTGACAAACGATGTATCAAAATAGACCTTTGGCATTGACTATGAAAGGAAAGCTATGTATTTTCATTATGAAATTTCACTTTTAGTCTTTAATTTAACACGAACATGACAAAAAGTCAAAAAAACTATCAGTAGAAAGGTACCCCTAGAAAAGGACTACGAGCGTAATATTCGATGATAAAAAGTTAAATATGAAAACTCCCTGTTATAAAAAACAAAATATAGTATTTACTCTTAAACTTTTATGAGCTAAACTGAAAATCTCACTAAAATAGTAGAACTATGGGCACGTAAAAATACTAATCTGTTATTTTTCATCATGAACCAAAGTATCTCGTTTTCAAAAGGGTAGTGATAGCCACAGCTGCTAAAATACTAAATATACCCGTCAACTAAATACTCCCCAGATATATTAACATGTTATTATTTGAAAAGTTATATAATTGTATTATGTTAAAAAAATTATAAATAAATGTTTAAAACTATACATCATTTATTTCATTTTATTAATTTTCAAATTATATGTGTGTGTGTGTGTTATATATATGTATATATATATAATATTAGTTTTAACTTTAATTATAAAACTTTAGCCCCTCAGTCCCCTCTTTTTTTAATTTTTCATCATTTAAAATAACTTTTATTGTGAATACATTGAATGGCCATTGGCTTTGTATAAAATCTTCTATTTTCCAAGTGTTGTACGAATATGCATTTCACCATTTTTAAATCTACATAGTTATTTTACCCTTTAAAAAAATAAATATATCAATTTTACTTCAAAAAACTTTATACGGAGTATAATCTTTAAAATTATTCACCACTAGTCTCTTTTATTTATTTTCAAGAACAAAAATCTATATAAATGTTAATAAATGTGAATTATTATTAAAACTAGAACTTTTATTTTAAAAAGATATCATATCTAATAATTAAAATATACTCCTTATTTAGTAGAATAAAAAATTATTATTATTCAACTATTATTATATTATGATTCAAACTAGAATTTTTATCAAAACTTTAAAATTGAAAAATGTCCTATTTGAGTTCATGGATTAAAAATAATTTTTTTCAGTAAGTATTAAAAATAATTTTGAAACTAATGGAGTGAGTTTAGTGTGTGAAGTGAAGTTAGTGTTTGGGTGGGGTGTAATTATTTGTGTAGAACTAGAATATAAAAATTATACATTTATGAAATATATAAAATATATATTAAAAAAAGCGATAAGCCGATAACATAATTATATTATTTTAAGGGTAAAGTACTTACAAGATTCCTATATGTTTTTAAAAGTGTCAGAATTATTTTTAAGGTGCTTATTAGATCCTTATATATTTTTGAAAGTACTCCATAAGTTTCTAAATTATTTTTAGTTCCTACTAGGTCCAAATACTTTCCAACGGATGTGTTAGTAGTCCCTTTGGTGGTATTTTTCAGATCTAGTGCGCGAAAATTGTTTGAGCAACACGCACAAGTTTTTCCAAAATTTATAATAAAACATCAGTTCTTACAACAATTTCAAGAGACTTGGTTTGGAAAAAGTCATTGAAGGGACCACTAACGCACTCGTTTTAAAAAAAAATAGGGTCGGGATACACATTAAAAAAATTTAGAGATCTGTGGAACACTTTCAAAAAAATATAGGGACATTGTAAGCATTTAAAATAATTCAGGGACTAGGGAAGCAATTTCAAAATAATATAGGCTTATTTTAACAAATGATAAATAAAAACTATATTATTTAAATTTAATATAAATAATTAAATTTGACTACCTCCAAAAATATTAAATTTGACTGATAGTTTTTATGAAACTTATCTAAATATTGGCGTAAATTTAAAAATAAAATTATTTAAAAACTATATAAAAAATTCAACAAAACAAAAGGTGACATAATTATATTTAAAAAAGTAAAATTAATTTCATCCGAATAATGAATAAGATTAGGAGTAAAAAAGGGAAAGAAACACTAAGGGGCTGTTTGACAACTTCTGAATAGGTAAGTGGTGAACCAGTAAGAGGTCTGAACCATTAAGTGCTGAACCAGTAAGAGGTCTGAACCATTAAGAGCTAGTATATTGCTTAACTATTCAGAGGCAAATGTCTGATCAATTCAGATAAGAGGTCTTAACCATTCAGACTCTGTATAATACTTAACCATTTAGAGGCAAATCTCTTAACCATTCAGACATCTGAACTATTAAGAGGCTAAAACAAACAGTCTAAACCATTAAGTGCTGAACCATTCAGACATCTGAATCATTAAAAAACTGAAACAAACTGCCCCTAAAAGGGAAAAGAGTATAAAAAGAAGAGTAGATTTGATCTGACCCTTTGAATGCAGTCACTGGAAGCAGCGAAATCGCCGGAATATGGTGGGCGCGATAAGAGCTGCGGCGAGCTTTTCAGTCACCGCGGAGTCCCGCAGCAGAAGCTCAAGAGACGGCGGCGCGTCTTCTTCAAATGCTCAGAAAACGACGGTCCGAACCCCCCTTCTTTCGGCTTCTAAACGTTCGTGGGTCGTCAAAACTCAGGTGCGACCCCGACCCTAAGCTTCATCCCAAATCACATCTCTTTAATTAACATTTTTTTACTTTTCCAATTAAACTTGATCTCTAATTATCTAATCTTCATAGGTTTTATATTACGAAATTATTCTGGATACATTCATATTCACATAAAATTCCAAATATTAAATTTTCATGTTATTACAACATTAACTCTTGGAAAAAAGATTAGCTTTATACTTTCTCTTAGAAAAATGTTCCTAATTTGGGTTTATTCAAATTATTTTCACTATTAAAAAATAAAATTTAATTAAAAAATATTAAAAGTACATCAAGATTTTTACAAAACAAATGATCACATGTCAAATGGTTGCTATCTGGGGTGCAACTCATCCTTTGCACAGATAACACAAATAATAGTCTCTATGCGACACAAATGATAATCATATGTACAAAGTATAAGTGCACCCGATAGCAATCATTTGGAAGCATTCTAGCATTTCTCCAATTCACTTTATCAAATGAATAGAATGGAGTATGTTTGATCTTTGAAGTCAAGTTGGATTAAATGCTAAAGTTATATGCATCATATAAGCTCTATCCAATTCAACTTATTCTTATTAAGGTGTGCTTATTACTTATCTATATTAGAATTTGATCAGAAACAAATTTAAATATGGATAGAGTTTGACCAAATCAATTCAAGGTCCGTTTGGTACACGGAATTGACGAAATTAGAATTGAATTGAGAATTGAAATTCTATGGAATTGATTTGGATGGAATTGAGTTCTCCAATTCCAATTTATTTTTGACACTACCAATTTCAAAATTTACATATTTTTGTGTTACCAAATAGCAGAATTAAAATTGTTGTTTCCAATTCCAATTTCCTAGTTTGAATTCCGTCTACCAAACGGAGTTTCAAACTTTAATAAAATAAAAATCAAATCTAATCAGATGAGACGAAGAGAACAGACTCTTAATGTATTATGTGCATATACTCGATTCTTGATTGTAGTATAACGTTGGAAGAGAATGGAGAAACAAAGCAAATCCTCCTTGTGTTGTCTGTGGAGGGAGTGGCCGAGTCGACTGCGACCGCTGTAATGGAAGAGGTCTCTTTTCCGTCTTTCTTCCACTAATTCCTTCTCAATTTAAATTGCATGTTCTTTTTTTTCATTTGTCTCGATTTAGCTTGAATATTTTTATATATAGAAAACAAATTATAGTTTGTACAATTTTTCTCTCCTCCCTATAGTTGTATACATATCAATGACACAATTTTCACTTTATTAAGACTATGTTCAGACAAACTAGATAAGCTATTTTTTATGTTCTTTATATTTTACAGGGAGGACAAACCATGTGGAGCTAGAAATGCTTCCCAAAGGACATTGGCCAAAATGGTGAGTCTTAGCATGCATAATAATTGGTGTGAATAACTATAGAAGGTCTTTGGTTGTGTTTATTATTTTTTTAAAAAAAGCATAAATCATACCCTAACATTCTGAACCGTTTGCATTCAAAGCAAACGACGAAAACCAGTTTTAAAATCGGTCCCAAACAACCCTCTAACTCCACGCTGTATTGTCGCAGGTGCAGGTGCTGTGGTGGAAGTGGTCTGAGCAACTGCTCCCGCTGCCTCGGGACCGGCGAGTATCGTCATATAATGGGATTTGACTTTATGTTTAGCCAGTCTACCAACGGTGGTGACGGTTAGTTTGTTACAGGGGCATGTCCTCAATTTTGAAGGACATATAACATTGTACTTTGTTCGACTCTTACATGAACTTTAACATTGTACTTTGTCTGTAACAATGAAAGAGAAGTGTTCAAGTTATGAATGCCTAGTGTCATATAAACTGTGATAAAGAAAATTTTCTTGTTTTCAAAGCATGAACCCCTAGCTAAAGGGACTGGCAATTAGGGAGTGTTTGTTCAAAATATATATCACCTATCTGGTCTCACACTAGAGAATAGTTCTCCATTCATTAGAGAAGCAAAATCTCAACCTGGGGAAAAAGATTTGGGAAAAGGCATTTTACAAACAGGACCTTAGGATTCGACTCCGTAGGGGAGCAGTGCAGCAGCAACAATCCTTCCTTCTTCGTTTAGAATGTTGTATGTAGATGCTGCATTTCTCTGCAACAAAAGAAAGACGGTGACAATGGTGGGTGGGTGTGGGTGGGGGGGTGTTTTCGCTTCCGTTTTACAAATTTGCCAAACGAATTGTGAACATAAAATATAGCCTTAATTTAATGCTTACCGAGTCAACAGCCTCTAATTTCATTCCAGTGGATCGGATAAATTGTCGAACCTCGGGGTTGACTTGTTGAATGTGCCTACCGCAACCAATAACGAGGATCTCTGTATAGAGAGAATTTTATGGTTAAATACATGAAACAAGCCGAGATTCGGTCAGATCACAGAAGTTCATGTGAGTTACAAATAAACCCTTTGAGCAGTCAAATTGTCATAAAAATGCCACCCTTGACACCAAAATATGATAGAATGTTGACGATTTGATGATATCAGAAGGAATGCAGTCTATTGGACTGAATTTTGTATTTTTAGAATGTTTGAGGTTGTTTCTATGTAGAAAAAAACTACATTTGGGATTGATGTTGAGAGTAATTTAGTAAAAAAAAACTTGTATTCATATATCACAATATTTCATCATCTCTGGATTTCAATCATGGAATATCTGGCTTAACAACAGTTGTATTTCTAATTTTAAGACACCTAATGGATTATTTGGTAATTTGACCAAATCTTGCAGAGGTAGAAATGATTGCATGGGCTGATGATTCTATAGCAACAAGACAAGTTATGACTTGTGACAATAATGATAAATCAGTTCATGTGTCCATACAAAGTGAGTGAAATAAAATTCCTAACTCGTTATCTCACTTAGAAATGAATGAGATAAACTATAACTGAAATTTCTGTAATGTTGACCCAGAAGACAAGAAAAGTAAGAAAAATGCATACAACAACAATAACAAACACAATAGGGTGTGTGTACAGACACACACCCTATCCAGAAAAAAAGACTGTTTCCAAGATACCCTGACTCAAACATAGAAGCACGCTCAAACACATAAGCACCGCCAAATTAAAGGATGCATATACAATGCCAATCATACCATTATATAATACGAAAAAGTATTGTGAAATGACCATATACAGTGCATATTGTCACACTGCAAACTCTAATTTTGGGGATGATACACGGAGCTCTTATTTTGGTACTTTCTCTATGTTTGACTCGTATTTAGAGTGATTTCTTTAAATTAAACACAATAGCACGAACAGAGTACAAACATAGAGACCAGAGGCGCACAAAACGACGCTTGCAGTTAGACCCAAAATAAAAGAAAGCGCACATGCTCGAGCTATAGACTAAGGTAAAAACGCACCAGCAAGGCATAGAACTTGGCTAAGAGACATGATGCTCACCTGGCACTGGACTAACAGTTTGGAAGATGGATAAGCTGCACCAAGGCATATTAAAGATCAGATATAACTAGAAAAGCAGCAAGGTAAAATGTAAAAATATGGGCACTAACAGTTTGTATACTTGCATTCCAATTCATTTGAATTTACCATGTTCTATCAAAAGCCTAAGTAGATTTCCATTCCCCTGTGGAGCCAAAGATTCACTATTTTTTGGCTTTGGGGTATGATAGAATAAAGCAAATTAGCTCTCTAAACTGTCTGCCTTGTAATTGTGAAGTAGCAGTTGGACAATGTGACTTTTGACATTCATCATTGGTCATCTAGAAACAACCGTTCTATGTTTTAAACATAGGGTCAGACTGCGTACAACCGACCCCCCTTACCCCGCAATGGGCGGGAGCCGTTGACGGACTGGGGTAATGTTATTGTTGTTGTTGTATCAAAAGCCTAAGTAGATAACCGAAGTAAACAATTTGTGAGATCTGAAATCGGCATTCTTGATTCCATTGGAAGTTATCTTTGCATATCTCAGAAACACCAAAGAATGAACAAAGACAAATAGCTTGCTAACTATGAACACCTTATTATTGATGAACCCATAAACATTACACAGATGAATAAGGTGAGTAATTACAAGATGATAGTATACCTCTCTGGTGTAACTTCAGAAAATTTCTTTGGAGCCCAAGACATTAGCAAGTTCCCAACACAAAGCAGACTACCATCATAGTGCACCCCATTAACTTTGAATCCAGTGTCTGTGAACCTACATAGATCATTAATCTCAAGAAACCAGGAAGCTTCTTAAACTAATCTGAACAATTAGGTATTCCAATTAGGAATTCCAATTCTAACATAAACTACTCGCTGCAATTTAAAACAATTTGTTGAAAATATAAGTATAAGACTGGAAGACGAAAAAAGGGTAAATCCGGAAAGGGAAAAGAGGGAAAATACTGCTGGAAACGAAGCTGATCTTCGGGGACGTTGTCGATGAGGTTGATTTGGTCGTAGAGAGAGAAAGCTCGCCGGAGCGACGGCAAGGGCTGGGCCGGGTGCGAATTGTTGTGCTTTGGGTATTCCTTCCGCAAAGCTCGCATCAACGACGGCAACGCCGACACGGCTTTCGGTCTCACCGCCGTCATTCCAGAAGAAGATCCTTCGTCGGGGAGCGGGGGAGGTTACAGTCTTACCCAGGTACTCATGTCCGATTTACAGCTTTGATTTTGGGATGAAGAAGAACGCTAATGATTTCGTCGCAAAAATAATTTTGCACTTTCAATGCACTTTTTTTTTATTTTAAGTCGCTTTAAAATATACTCCGTATTGAATTACAAATAATTTTAGAAATATTTGCACTAAATAACACTAAAACTTAAATCATTTTCCTGAATAGTACTTAAATTATTTTATTTCCTAAATAGCACTTCACAATGTCCATAATGTCCAGTAATGACCAATATTTACTTGAATAATGACTAATAGATAATGACTAAAAATGTTAGATTAGAAAAAAACTCATGTGATGCTATTTAGAGAAAGTCATTATGTTTTAGTGCTATTTAAATAAATTTCCCATAATTTTAATCAATACAAAAACATCTTTCTGTGCGACAAACATAACAGTTTATTCTTTGATTATATTTTTCATGCCAATTTAACAATTTTAATCATTAATCTCTTTATTTATATTTGAAATGAATCTAATGTTGTTAACTTTATATTACAATTAGAAATTGTATCGACACGATGAGTGGCCACATATTTATTATCTAAAACGATTGCACATGTGAATATTTAGTAAAATTGTAAAAATAATAAGAATACAATAGAATAATAGTATCTATTAAATTGTAAATTTGAATATAGATTATACTTGCAGTAAATTAATAAATTATTGAGTGAAAAACATGTTACTTTTGAATATCAATAATTTTTGAGCAATGTGAGAGATACAACAAAGGTGTACCCAAATTACACGACCCTCTTCTTTACCATCCATTTTTATTTGATTTTTATTTACTTTTTTTTAATTTCTTACCAATTTATGTGGACAATGAAGGGGAACATACGTGGTACACCAAAGGTGTACCCTTAGCATTTTTCATAATTTTTGGAAAGCAATATGAGCTTGTTGAAGCATAGCTTACCTCTACATATTTCATCTCCTCTTTCAACGATAACATTAGCTCACATTGAAGCATCCCACTCTATCTACATGACTCATCAATTTGAAGGACCTTACACACCCGTGGTGCTAGACACATGTTCCTTTGTCCCAAAATGTTAGTCAATGTTACTATTATCCCTCCTTTTCAATAACTTTTATTTATTTATATAATTGTATTGATCATTTAATATAATAAAAAAATTTACATTTTTTTGTAAATTTTTTTATGTATTTCTGAAAATTATTATTTAAAATTTTTATTTGTATACATTTTGTACTTAAAATCATTTTTTTAAAATAATGAGATTTTGTATGTTGTATAGAGAATGTCAAATACGGTAAGACTGGTGTATTCTAATTTAAATAAAACTAGTATTGCACAAATGTATATACACTACACAAACATATTGTAACTAAATAAATCCGTAAACTATATGCAATGACTCATTATATTATACATGCATATATGTTAAATCCACACCTTAAATTGTTACACCCACGTTTTAACTTGTACTCCATATTTGTTAAATACATACTCCTCAATATAAGTATCAATATGAATTTAACAAAATTGGACAAGAAAAATGTGAATATAAACTTTTAGGGCATGGATTTAGTGTCACATATATCTTGAAATCTTAATTAATTAAACCGCTAGACCATCCACGGGCACCTGATTTCCTTCAGACTTGACCACTCTCTCCTCAAACTCAACGTATTTATACCACTTTGCGCACAACAGGTAGACGACAAAATCCGCCGCCGTCAGCGCCGCCAGGAGGAAATAAAACCTGTCCAAGTGTCCCCTGTTGAGGTTTCCGGGTATCCATCCAGGCATCCGATTCGCGGTGGATATCCGCATCACGACGCTGACCAGGAGGCTGCTGACGTAGTTCCCGAGGGAGATGGACGTCATGCACAGCGCGCTCCCGAAGCTCTTCAGCCCGTCCGGCGCCTGCCGGTTGAAGAACTCCAGCTGTCCGACGTACATGAAAACCTCGGAGGCTCCGATCAGCGTGTACTGCGGGACCTGCCAGAATATGCTCAGGGAGGAGCCGGAATCCTCGCCGGCGGCCTCCAGCCGGAAGTGCTCCACCGTGCCGGCGGCCACCATGGCGGCGACGGCGATGATCAGGCCGACGCCCATCCGCTGCAGCTCCGTCAAGCCCCGCACGGCGGGCTTCTTCCTCAGCGCCGCCACCAAGGGGTCGAGGAGGCGGCGGCAGATGAAGATGAAGGCGGCGACGCTGAGGATGTCGAAGCTGGACATGCTCGCCGCCGGGATGTGGAAGCCGAGGACCTCCGTCTTCATGGCGGCTCCCTGCTCGACGAAGAGCGACGCCATCTGGGTGAAGACGACGGAGTAAAGTATGGTGCACAGCCATATCGGGAGAAGCCTCAAAATGCATTTCACTTCCTCTACTTGTGTTACGGTGCAGAGTTGCCACGTGTCCCCCTTTGCCGCATTCCTCGGCGCTACAATTGCTGCCTTGTCGAGAACCCTGCTCATGCATGCATAAATATTAGCCACGTTATTAGTTTCTGATCAAATTTTTTACACTAATATAAGTCAATTAATATCTGTTCATGCATTTTCTACATATTATAACATATAGAGTTATTGCTGATCTTATGCTCACAAAACCGACCCAGAGTGCATTGTGAATAAACCATGTTAATGGCCTAAATCAAATATTGTATTCAAGACCATGATAATTAATAACAAGTGAAATTTGTACTAAATAGGATTAAAACATAATGACTTTCTTAATATAGGACTGAACTTTTTTATTCCCTAAATAGGACTTAATAATGACTTAGTAGAAGGAATAATGTCCAGTAATGATGGACATTTAATTGAATAATGACTACTTGATAATGACCAAAGGTCCCACTGGAAAATAAAAACATATGTTCCTATATTAGGAAAGTCATTATGTTTTAGTCAGGTAAATTTCTCATAAATGAGAAATATCTAACTATGAGTAAAAAATGCCGGCTTCATATACTAAAATACGACTTTCAATGCATTTATATTAAAATTAGACTTATAATGCACATAATACAAGTACAAAATTAAACGTGAAGCTAAAAAAACATTGTGAAATGTCAACACAATACTCAATCAGGAATTTTTAAGTGTCAACACTTCTACTAATGGAATAAAACACATAATGTCTTATTATGGTATAAGTTCTATGTTTTAATCTTATTTAGATCGAATATGACTGGTTTTTTAATAAAGGAGGGACTAGAAGTTAAACCAACGTACCTAAATCCATCGGTGTGTAGTAGCTTTCTGGTGCCATTCTCTCCATCAACTTCATGCAGCTCATCAACATCCGAGGGGAGTGGCACTCTCCATTTTCTAGCAGCAGCCACCACAACCTGGCAAAACCTGGAGAGAGGGTTTCCCTGAGGGGCAACGTGTCTGTACCTTGGCGTCCCAACTAAGAACAGGACCAAAGCCAAGAAAGCAGACACAGTCGACGCCCAAAACCCCAAAGACCACATCCCCTTGTCCTCAAAGTAGACGAGCACGGTGTTGGAGAAGAGGGAGCCGAGGTTTAGGGCCAAGTAGAAGTAGCTGAAGAAGGATACCTTCGAGTGACTCTCCTCTGCGTGACCCTCGTCGAACTGGTCTGCCCCGAATGTCGCAACATTGGGTTGGTACCCTCCGTTCCCCAGGGCGACTAGGTATATCGACACGTAGAACATCCCCAGTTTCAAAGACGAGTGGGGCCCGCACCGGGCTCCTTTGTCGCCGCAGCCTTCTGGCTGCAGCAGGAAAACGTGCGTGCACACCGAGAGCGACACAAGTCCCTGTGTCCATGCAATTGATGAGCTTGTTGAAAGGTCTTCTTTTTAGAAAATAAGGGGAGGAAAATGTGAGATAAAAAAGAGGGAGAGAATTAAAGGGACTCACAATGACATAAATGATTTGAAAAACGGCACAAGTTTTGAATCTTCCCCAATAAGAATCACTGAGAAAAGCACCAAGAAGGGAGAATATATAAACAGTGCCGGTCCATTTGCTCACACTGTTGGCAGCTTCGGCATTGTCTTGGCCCATAACCCGAGTCAAAAACAGGACCAGGTTGACTCCTACCCCAAAAAATGCCAATGTAGCTAGTCCTTGGTTCACTGCATGTATGCATTTATACATTTTCAAATCAATTATCAAATCAAAAGTAGTAATCATATTAAAATATGTCTTGATGTTGGGTAGTGACTAGTGATGGGCTGAAAGCACACCCCCAAAAATGCTAAATACACCACCTACAAAGAGTGTGGAGTATTATTTAAAAAATTAAACAAACTTTAATTATGTGCGTGATTGAAAAACGAAAAAATTACATTTGTCTATATTTTTTCTAGAAATCGAGAGCATGTAGAGCGAAAAAAAAGCAAAGAGCGGTTCACAAGGAGAAAAAAAAAGAAACTCCTCGCCCTCGTTCCAATCGTCACTCTCACCAGGAAAAAAATTCAGCAAACGTAATTTCAAACTCGTTCGTCATGCAACGAAGATCCGACTCTCCACTTTTAGAGGTTATCCTCACAAAAAGGCTTCTACCAACTTAATTCCAGTACTTGTGATCCAAGCAACTTCTTGTTACCAATGATCAGCTTGCGGGGAGATAAGAGGAATATCAAATAATAGGAAATACATATTATATTTTAATTACTTTCATTATCATATTTTTTTCGTTCTTGTATTGTTACTATAGTTTATTTCTTATCATGATTCGAACTCTCTCATGTAATGCCTATAAATCGGGATATATCATTCATTATTCAATAAGACCAATTGTTATCAAATTGAATTACTTACTATATTATATAGAGTATGGTAACTTTTATTTTTATCACTTTTTATATTTTGGTAAAATTTTGATATAATTTTTAGTTCTGTATCAATTTCCAAAAAAGATTAATAAAAAAATCCTTTGTTTTACCTCGTAAATATCACCCGAACCCCTTTGAGGACGAATGTAATATCTAGAAATTGTTTTGGAAGATTTTACATGACAATATTGTGAAATTGTTTTATAGTAATATGTGATACGATCTCATTAATTTCGTAACTAAAATTCCACAAATTTGACCGAAAAAATTAAACTATGTGAAATAGAAATATCAATTTTAAACATAGATGCTATTAACCAAAGAAATATTTGCACTCAAT